TCTTCTACATATCTTTCCTCTCCCTGTCCTCTCAGACAGGATTTGAGCATGTGAATGGAGCCTGGTCAGTCAGGCACGATATTCTCTCTTGAGACTTTGAATGTTGGGCTGCTGGTCTGGAACCAAGGTAAATAATAGGAAAGTTATTCACCTACCTGCCTTTCTGCCCCAGGTACCATAGGTTTCTATGTCTCCTGCTCTGCTTCCTGCCTTCAGCTTGGGCTTCCTATTTATATACAAGTCTTGTTCTCTGGCATCCCTTCAATTCTGTGAGCCCCCTCTTTCCCTTCATGTAATCTCCTGGTTGCTTTTGTTGTCAATTATAGATTTCTGTTGCTTGCAACTAAGAACTCTGAAATACCAATATTAAAGTGGAAAATAGCAGCACTTGTTAATGATATGAATGGCTCATAAATCATAAAATCTCTACTACTAAAAAGATTAAACTCTTTTCATGCTGAGATGGTGTGTCACCTCCTGGCCCAAACTCCATTCCTGAAGTAACAAAAATTATGATGTTAGCTTTATATTTATTGAGCATTCATTGAGTGTTGAGCTAAGTGCTTTACATACAACATCTCACTTAATTCTCACAACTCATCCAAAATAAATATTAAGATTTTACTCATTTTATAAATAAAGAAACTGAGGCTGAGAGTGACTTGCTCAAGACTGAGGTAGAAAGTGGAAGAGCTAATATTTGAACCCATGTCTGAGTCACTCCAGAAACTCTGCTTATAACTACTGTGCTCTTCTGTCTTCTTCTGCCTAACTGACTTACACGTGGGGAACATTTTTAAAAATATTTCTTCAAATGATGAAATAGCCATGATAAATCAAATAATGAGAAATTGAAAAAAAACACACATATAAATTGTGAATTAGCTTCAGGAAAAGGCAAATTCAGCTTATTTACAGAGTAGCTGTCTGTGTCTTAGCTTTCGATTATTTATGTGTTACCCTTGGGACTCCCCGTTTCCCCCTGTTTTGGGTGCACAGTGAATGGGAGCAGCCATGTATTTCAGCTGGGTCTTTCCTGACTGTTAAATATCCATTGGGCTAAGCACTCTCCAAGCTCCCAGCAAGTTCATTAGTTACCTGAAAATATCTACCTCATCTGTCATCAGCACTCAAATGGCCTGAGGGATTTTTCATTTCCACTCCATTTTCCAAACTCTTTCTAGCATTTACCTCCCACATCTGGAATCAATCCTGACCAGCAGCAAAATGCTGAACAGTCGGGCTCCTCTCAGGGCAGCCTTTCTTTCTCCCAAGGAGAGACAAGAATACGTCGCATATGAATTAGCCATTCTCTTCTAGAGAAAACTGGCAGCGGAGGCAGCTTCTGCATTCTAATTTGCTCATCTAACCCCTTCGTCCTTACTTGTTTAAGCAAAATATTTAGTTTAACATTTTCAGTCATTAGAGCTGAAAAAACACACATATTTTAACAATAGATTTTGTGTTGCAAATTTTAAGTATCCTTCAAAAATACCCCAGCTCGTTATCCCTTTACTCCCTTGGTAGAAAAGATTTTTAGACTACAGTCTTAGGAAACGTCACTGACTTCCAAGCCTCAGTACCATTGCCCCACCACTGTTGCTGTCACTACTTCCTAGAGAAAAGAGAGTATGAGTTTGCCAAAGACAGCTAACTCAATTCCAAGGATGATTTCAACATTTGATTTTATGTTGTTTTGGGGACTGTTTTTGTTTTTGTTTCTAGATAGTGTGGGGGCCAGCTTCACAGACTTCTGGAATTGCTTTCTAGTGGACAACATTCAGATCCTCGTGAAGGAAATATCGTTAATTTCTTATAGATTGTTATTTTCCTTTTAGTGGGGAAGGACTGCATAGGAAAAGCTGACCTCAGGAAACTAAACTCCACACGTCTTTTTACAATTATTCTTGAGAATATCTTCATGAAAAAATCACAAAAAGTAAATGGCACCAAAGCTGCTTTCTGAGAGCCCCTAAGAAAATATGTATGGGATATGTAGATGGGAAAAGTCAAGTCAATCTCTTAATTGGATGAACTGCATAATTTTACTAATACAGCACATCCTGCCCTTAAGTTTAAATCATCCAAAGTTTTTTTTTAAGTTCTAGAAGAAACAGCAATATAAAAAATTCCACAACGCCCAATATATCTCAAGTTATAGCCCTCAGCACCTGCAGGGTGATTATCTCTGCTGACGAAGTGAAATATTACTATGAATAATAGAAAATTACAAAATACTAGATAGAAAAACTAATGAGAGGCAATCAGTGAGCTAGAAAGGCAGTTTTCTACAAAAGATTTCATAATTTAAGATAGTGAATAAGGTGCTTCTGCTCCCTTTAAGGTCCATAATCTGATCATCAAGTGTATTTAAAATACACTGAGTTGTAAACAATTTTGAAATATCTACACTGCACCGGGCATTGTGCGAAGTCTCTTCTCAAGTTATCACATCCACTGTGCTCCCAGTGCGTGCATCAGGCACTGTGGGGATGTAAATGAACTGCAAGAGCCTGCTCTGTCTTTTTCTTACGTAACTGGCCAATGCAATGGTGAAACCCCTGAGAAAGCAAATCCAACCTCCGGATTGAGGGGATAAAAACAATGTGAACAGTAAGCTCTTTGAAAAGAAAACCGCTTCCCTATGGTAGAAAATAAGGAGGAAGGGGGCCCATGCAGGGAGCCCAGCAAGCAGAAAAGGTGGACCCTAGGGAGTGTGATATTACACAGGAACATAATGGGGTTGACTGCATACTTGTCTAATTACTGGAGCTATTAAAATCTCTATAATTTAGATTCAGGCAAAAAAAAAAAAAAAAAAAAAAAAGGCTCGTATAAATGCACACACATGCTCCTGATTGGATTTTTTGAATCCATTCCTCTTGATTCTAAAAGGACACCACCCTGCTGTGTACATGTGGCTGCTAAACCTGAATGACCTTCTCCCCTGGCCCTGCCCTTGCCCCCTGACTAGGGTACTCTGTTACTGTAATAAGCAGTTCGGTTAGATAAGGCGATGGTTGATGGGATCATCTGTGTTGAAGCCGAATTATAATGCCTCAGTCAATGGATTTAATCTAAACCAAATGTTTTGGGATTCTGAAAGCTCCAGGAGCAGAGAAAATATAAGTTTTATATTTGCTGAAGTTCAAACAAAGAGCAGACGGAAAGATTCCAGAAGCTCAGAGAGTGGTAGCAAAAAAAAAAAAAAAAAAAAAAAAAAGTGTTGTTTCTCCTGAGTTCAATCAAAGGAACAAGTAGGGTACGCTTTGCATTCACCTTCTCCTTTTGTTTTCTCCTCTATGAGCTTTCCTTTCTCTTGACATATTATCTGCTAATGTCAAAATGAACTTGATACAGTAAGTACGTAGCATATGGTAGGTGCTCAATAAACACTTCTGGAATAAACAAATGGGCAATAGTTAGTGTAGGGGTTTAGTGTCCACACTGTTAGTCTCAGATTTCACTCAGCCCCTTCTTAGCCATGAGTTGAGGCCAATTTACTGAACATGAGGGCCTCAGTTTCCAGATATGCAAAGTGAAGCTAATAATAGTTGTGTGGATTAAACAGGTCAATGCATCTAAAGTACTAGCATAGTGTCTGATACATAAATGGTCATTTCGTAGCTAACCTTCATTAGCTTTCACACCTGTGTTCTTACCTATTGGGTAAGACTTCCTCTTCTGAGAACGCTGGCCATTTCCTTTTAAATGGTCTTCTCCACACCCTTCTTCCTTTGTTTTAGTTAAAGATGGGATTTAAGCCTGAAACTTAGGCCACCTCTTTGCGAATTCCTCATTTCCTGGGTACCTCCCATATATAAATGGGATATACACATTAATAAACTTCTGTTTGTCTTTCTCTTGTTAGTCTGTCTTTTGTTACTGGTCTGTCCCAGCTAAGAACTCAGAAGGGTTGAGATAAAGTTATTTTTCTTCCCCTACAGTACCTTCTCCTTTTGTTTTCTCCTCTATGAACTTAACTTTCTCTTGACATATGTGCTAATGTCAAAATGATGTCTGCTAATGCCTAATTTTGAAGACTACTACTTTCATTAAAAATACAGAAAAAGTACTTTTCCATGCTTCGTTTTATCTGATGCTAAAAATAACTTTTTGGGGCTGAAGGGAAATACTACTATTCTCATTCCACAGATAAGAAAATAGATATGTCCCATAGGTAGTGAGAATCAAGCTAGAGTTGAAACTCAGCTCTACATTTGATATTCAACAAAGGTTTAATGAGCACCTACTGTGTTCCAGGCACTATGCTGGGCTCTGGGAACAAAACAGTGGATAGCGGTCTTGAAGGGCATCTTCAGGCTCCTAGTCTAGTGCTCTTAATAATCTGATAACTTAGCCAATGACATTGACATTAATTCATAATCCAGTATGTTTTTAAATATCAAAATTTAATAGCTTTAAAGATGTTTCTGAATACCTTAAAAGCAGTCAGAAGGCATTTTGTGCAGGATTTATAACTGAAACTACAGTAAACAGTGACGAAATTAACAGAAGTATAGTTGTAACATGACTTAGGAATAAAATCATTGGAAAGTCATCTGAACATTTGGTAACATCACCATCTTAGATAAGAGATAAATGCACTAAAAGTGCAGTAGTGGAGATATCTGGGGGTTCCAACCCAAGGTGCCCCATTTTTCTACGGCCAAACAGCAGGGATTTCAATGGAGGCTCCGTGGGTTTACCGGCCACTCCTCTGCTGAGTTTCAGTCCCCAACTGCCAGGCCTGTCAGTGTTCCCTATTATTCTCCTGACAGACAAAAGGAAAGCAGCATGTATTCCTTCTGCCTGTAACAGGAGCCAGCAAAATGGCTTTGTGATTGTGAGACATGTCAACTTAATTAGCTTTTTTTCCTTCTAGGTAATAAGGGTTTTCTCCAAGGAATGACCAAAATTAACAACACAATTTGAGGAAGTTGATATTTCCTTCTCTTTTCCCACTTCAGATTCCTAGATGCAAAAATCACACCCACAGATGCTAAGAAATCTACATGGTTTATTGTTTTTGAATATAACAAAATATTACTACAGTGAAAGTTAGAATCACTTCATCTGACCTGTATTTAGAAATCATCCATTTGAGAAGTCCGGATTATGTGTCCCCCACACCTTAAAGATTATGGAAATGAGAAATATCTTCTCTTTTATCAGAACTTATTTGGAAAGTTCATCCATAGCTCTGTGAACCCCCAAATATTGCATGAAAAAACATTTTTTGGGCCAGGTGTGGTGACTCATGCCTGTAATCCCAGCACTTTAGGAGGCAGAGGCAGGTGGATCACCTGAGGTCAGGAGTTCAAGACCAGCCTGACCAATAAGGTGAAACCCCATCTCTACTAAAAATACAAAAATTAGCTGGGCGTGGTGGCAGGCACCTGTAGTCCCAGCTAGTCAGGAGGCTGAGACAGGAGAATTGCTTGAACCCTGGAGGCGGAGGTTGCAGTGAGCCGAATCGTGCCACTGCACGCCAGCCTGTACAACAGAGTGAGACTCCATCTCAAAAAAAAAAAAAAAAAAAAAAAAATTGCATATGTATATTTTGTGAGATTATGGTTTTCCAAAAGATTCTTAAAGGAGTATATAAACCAAATCCGCTTGAGAACTGCTTCATGATTGTCTGTCGAAGTCTCAAATGTTGTCAATTCATTTATAAGTAATTTCATATAATTTTTGGGCGTTTCTTCAAACGTGGGTTTTGAAACCAAAATGTATAATCATCAAAGATTTATTTTAAGGATATAAGATGTCCAGTTTATACTATGACATTTCTTTCATTTGCACAATTTCGAGAAGTGTTTCTTGCCTCTGAAAAGCAGAGAGGACTATCCAAGTATAACTCCACTTAATTTGACTCTGAGGATTGTAGTTTCTGAGCAGCTGACTGAAAGGAAATTTTATAAAGCAAATCCTCTATTCCCATTGTACTATTGTAATTTTGGTTTGCGGCTCAGGCCAAGAGTAGAAGAACTGAACCTCATGTCCCCATCATGTTGCTGTGGGGTGGGACCGATGAGTTTTATCAGTGAGCCCTTGTGGGTAGAGCTCTGTCCCAAGTAAATAAAACCAAGGGTCTTCCTGCCCTCTAGGCACTTATCATTTAGTTGGGGAGAAAAAACATGCATTCAATATATATGCGGTTTTTTTTTCCAATAAGCCACACTATAAACTGGAAAAATCTAGAGAATGTATACAGATTTCATTAGCATACAAAAATGTCTATGGTGAACAGTGCTCTCAATTATGGTATGTCATACGATGAATTTATGGATCTATTGTCTGATTTGTCAATGTTCATTCTTCAAAATAGGCCCATTGAAAACACTGAGTTATTTTGAAGGACAAATTTTACGACTAATTTTTTTTTTCTTAAACTATGCAGGATTGTTATTTAGAAGATTTGCCAAATTTAGCGTCTTCGGCGATGGAAATAATTGGCCTTCTTGTCACAGTCTTCTGTTTATAAGTAGATGAAGAATGTTTTCTTTCCTGTAAGGTAGAGAGAGAGGAAAAAAACTATATATATGTGTATATATATAAACACACACATACATTTATATACACACATAGCATATATGAAGTTCAGTAGAATTTGCTATTGAAAAAAATTATCAGAATAGGTGCATTAAGGCTTGATAGGGTTTGTAAAATTTATAGAGGCATCCCCTCAAGGCCTGATGTGAGTTATGAAATCTAATTTTGTTTTCATAGCTCTGTGATAAAATTTTATCAATGTTATAAAAGGGGTCTTTACTAAGACTGACCGGAAATCTGAACTATCTGGCCAGGCAATAAAAACACATTCCTTAGCAGCAAAGTGTCAGACAAGCAAGGTTTAACTAAAATTGATCGATAAGTCTTCCTTTTACAGTTGAGTGCATTCACTTTACTTCATAGGATAATAGTTTTTTTTTAATGGTTTTTCCATTAATATCAGACATCAGTGTTAGTAAGGAACAAGAAAGACATAAAAGAGAGAGGCATGCCATCAAGAAAGAATGTTGCAATCTTTAATGGTAGGGCACTTGTGCTATGACAAAGGCTTATGTAGGTGAGGTTTGGGGATTTTTGTTACTGATTATTACAGGTTGAACTGCATTCCTCCAAAATTCACATGTCAAAATCCTAACCCCCAGCACCTCAAGATGTGATCTGATTTGGAAATAAGATCATTGCAGATGTAATTAGGTAAGATGAAGTCACACTAGAGTAGGGTGGGTCGCTAATCCAATATCACTGATGTCCTTTCAACAATGGGAAAATCTGAACCCAAGGACACAGGAAGAATGTCACATAAATATGAAGGCAGGGATCGAGGTGATGCTTCTACAACCCAAGAAATGCGAAAAGATTGCCAGCTTTTCTTAGTTTGTTCAGGTTTCTTTCATGAAATAGCTTAGACTGGGTAGCTTAGAAACAAGACAAATTTATTTCTTATAGTTCTGGAGGCTGGGAAGTCCATGATCGAAGTGTCAGCAGATTTGGTGTCTAGTGAGGGCTTGCTTCCTGGTTCATATGGTGCCTGGTTCCAATGGTGGCTTATTGCTGTGTCCTCACATAGTGGAAGAGTCATGGCAGCTCTCTTGGGCTTATTTCATAAGGGCACTAATTCCATTCATGAGGCTACTGCCCTCATGACTTAATTAGCCCCTAAGAGTCCCAGGTCTTACTACTATCACATTGAGGATTGGGTTTCAACATGTGACTTTTGGAGGGACACAGATACTCAGTCCACAGCACCAGCAAACCATCAGAAGCTAAGGAGAGTATGGCACAGATTCTTCCTCATAGCCTTCAGAAGGAATCAGTGCTGCCAACACCTTGATCTTGGACTTCTAGCCTCCAGAACTGGGAGACAATACACTTCTGTTGTTTAAGCTACCTGTCTTGTGGTACTTAATTATGGCATCTACTGTGGTCTGCTATGACTTCCAAAATTCATGTTCTGTAAACTGACTCCCCAATGCAACAATGTTGGGAAGTGGGGCATTTTGAGAGGTGTTTGGGTCATGAGGGACTTACCCTCATAAATGGATTAATGCTGCTATAAAAAGGGCATGTGGGAGTGGGTTTGCTTTCTCTTTTCCTTCTACCTTCTGCCTTGTGGGGAAGCAGTAAGAAGACCCTCACCAGACACCAGTGCCTTGATTGTGATCTTGGGCTTCCCAGCCTCCAGAACTGTGAGAAATAGACTTCTGTTCTCACACCTTGGGTTGGGCATCCAAATGTAGCTTACCTTGCCTAACTCAGTTGTCATCAGGAAAGTCATCCAAATAAGCAGCAACTAAACCATAAAAACGATCACTTCAAGGCATCTAATGAACTCATTTTCAGAATTACCAAGACCACATCTAACATTTCTGTTGCACTGAAAACTTACAAGGGGTTTCTAGGGAACCTAAATGGAAAACACAGGCTTTGAGGTTAGGCAGATTTGGGTATAAATCCCAGTTCTGCCACTTATTGGCTGGTGCCTTTGGCAAAGATATTTCACTTCTTCAAAGCCCAGCTTTCCCATCTGTAAAACGTAAAAGTAGTAGAAGAAATATCTACTTCATAGGGTGGTTGTGAATACTGAATGAGACAGACAACATATATGTAAAAGTCCAATATGGTGCCTGGTACAGGTAGACACTCTAAAAATGTTAGTGTCCTTCTCTTTCTGTGTTGATGATCTCGTTTGAGTCTTATAACAAGCAACTTTCCCAAGACTGCAGGAAGGTAAGACTCAAGAGGGCTTTGTCTCCAAGTCCAGGAATCTTTCCCTGGAAGGAGCCACCTCCAGGCCTTGGCTACCACAAAGTCATGCTGTGACCTCCCTCTGTTGCTCTGGTGAGATTTAAATTGGGCTTCTGAAGGTGAAGGTGACCCCGTATGCAGATCCTGGTGAGCACCTGTAGAAAGGACCTACTAAGCAGATGAACTTCCAGGAATCAGCTGGAAGAGAGAGAGAGAGAAAAAAATAAAATCATATCTTCCTAATCATATCTTATCACTGAATTAGAATCAGACTTTTAAAGCTGGATGCAACTTAAGAGGAATCTGCTGTTTTCATTTTCTAGAAAAGGATGTAGCAGCTTATATGATCCCTTGGCCAGTCAGCATCAAGTTGGATGATCTCATGAATCCCAGTCCAATGTTCCTTCCATTCTAATTAGTGTCCTGAATACCCACAATGTCAGCTCAAGAATGGAAGAACCAGAGTAGATCCAAAAATATGTAAAATAGTCTCAGAATAAGCCTTTGTCATTGAAGAGAAATGTGGCTTTAGTGGAATCAAGATGCTTCCTAACTCTGATTCTTACACCAAGACAAGGTGAAGATGGATTTCAAAATGGTGCTGTAACTGCAATGTAATAGAGGGGGAGGGGTGCATCCGAGCTCTCTCATACCTGCCCTGTTTTTTTTTTTAATTTTTTTTGGATATGGAGTCTCATTCTGTTGCCCAGGCTGAAGTGTAGTGGCATGATCTCAGCTCACTGCAGCCTCTGCCTCCCAGGTTCCAGCGATTCTCCTGCCTCAGCCTCCCAAGTAGCTGGGATTACAAGTGCCCACCACCACACCCAGCTAATTTTTGTATTTTTAGTAGATATGGGGTTTCACCATGTTGGCCAGGCTGGTCTTAAACTCCTGACCTCAGGTGATTTGCCCACCTTGGCCTCCCAAAGTGCTAGAATTACAGCATGAGCCACCAGGCCCAGCCCATACCTCCTCTTTAGAAAGGGTGAAGTTTACTCATCTGGGCCTGTAGCACCCAGGAGCTCGTGAAAGAGCTCATGGCAGTTTCAGAGTAGACAGAGGATGTGAGAAGCAGTGACTCTTGTTTGGAAATCTTCTAAATTGGCTGACTCCCATTTACATGCTGTTTCTGGCAGCAGAGATCAGTCTGGGTCACCTCTATGCCACTGAGTAAATATGTTCAAAATTATTACTATTTCAGACAAATGTTTAACTGTTCTCAGATTATCTATGACACCCTAGGCCAAAGTCATAGCAATCTAACCTGGGAGTGAGTTTACTTTACTTTGTGATTTATGGAATGAGAATTCTGGGTGCTCTGTGGGACTAATTTAATACGAAACATTCAGATGTCTGTCTTATAATGCCATTCATCTTTCCTTAGCCTGCCTGCACCAGGGAGCATGTGGTTCAGAGAGCAGCCTCTCCCTTCTCAGCTACAAATCATCACGCTTGTGAAAGGGGGTGACAAGTCTTCCCTTCTAAGACAGTCTGCCTGCAACCGAGGGTCTGTCTGGGCTCTGATGGAAGAAAAGTGTTTTCCACTCTAACAGGCTGTTGGAGTGTTTTGAAAGTACAGTTGGCAAAGTAGGATTCCTAGTCAACATTGCTTTGGTTTGCCTTTTGGTGAAGGGAATTTAGTCAGTCTATACTGTCTTATCAACAAATGTAGATTTGTTTTATAAGAAAGCAATGTGATGTTCTATGGATTGACATAATGCATGTGAGAAGAAAGTTCTACAAAAATCTAAACTCTCATTCAGTGTAGTACTTATATTTGAAAAGCAGATATTTCAATGCATGGCTAAAAAGGAACAAAAATAAAACTTTTTAAACCAACAAGTGACCCTAAATCTCGCATTCATCCGACAAATATTCATGAATGCCTGCTATGTAGTAAGGGCTATTCAGGTACTGGAGACACAATTCTGAACATTCTGCTTTCAAGGAGTTTGCAGACCAGTGAGAGAAAGGTCATGTTGACAGTGGTAAGTCCTACAGGTGTGAGCAACAGGTACAGGGGGAGCACATGGAAGAAAGTTCCCCACACAGTCATATTAAATGACATGCGAAAGCTGCAGGAAGAAAATGTTCAAAATCATGGAAGTAAGAGAGAATATACAATCTTGGGGAATGGGGGAAAGTTTAGAACGGGTGGAGTGGAGAACTCTGTGAGCAAAGGGCTGAGAACCCAGACTACAGAGCCAGGGGAGCTCCAGATTCCAAAGGCCTTTGGGCACATGGGAAGGAGTTTGAACTTCATTTTGATGGCAACAGGGGCCACTTAAGCTCTTTAAGTGAGGAAGTGACATGATATGATTCTTATTCTCGAAAGATCATTCTGGCTACAACTTTGACAAAGAATTCGATAGAAGCAAGGCTCTGGGGGGTGGTGTGCAATGACTAGTTGGAAAATTATCTCAGTGAGTGATAGCAGTGGTCTGAAGTCAAATAGGGTAAGTAAACAACTTTGAAGTATTTACAAAATCCTATAAATGAATCCCAGTTTACTCATATTAACAGTTGTATGCTTGTGCAAATGAAAATCAACCTCTGCCGTCAAGTCATTTCCTGAGCGAGGTAGAGTCCTATTGACCCTGGTATGTGCTGCTGCTGCAGTGCCCCTATTGCTGGTGAAAACTCCCTGAGAAGTCTCTTGAAGACATAGCTTTGGTTAAATGTATAGATATGGCCCATATCAACCTTCCCATGGGAGCTAGGTGTTATCTAATGGATAACACTGCTCCATGGGTGTCCTAGAGAATAACAAGGATTTACAACTCAAAACACAGCAGACCACTGTCACACTCAGTGAACAGAACTCATATGTTAACATTAGGAAAGCTGTTAGCAAGTCTGGCCTTTGAGAGTGGGGTAGGAGGAGAGAGAGTAATAAAAATAAAAATTCAAAATGGGATTTATGCTATCAAAATGACTACATTAAACGAGAGGCAAGGAAAAGTCTGATAAAAAGGGTTTGACACTGGGATTGATTTGAAAAAATTTCCTGAATGCCAATCAGAGAGTGTCTTGATTTTTACCAATCTCTGCAACATCCACTTCTTTAGACAGACTTGATTATGTTCAGAAGTGTTACTTAAGATCTCAAATGGTATTAATCCTGATACTGTCATCAAAGTCACAGATTCTAACCTCAATTTTGTGTCAGCTGCTTAGAAAATAACATCAAGGTCACCCCACCAAAGTCAGTTTTAAGTGTATACCCAAGGGCAGGCCTCTCACTGACTGATTAGGAATAGTGACAGCCTAGCTGATCCTATCGCTAATTTCTTCCTCAGTGGTGAAGGGAGAAAAGAACCACAACAATGGCAGAAATACATGTTTATGCTAACAATGCCATGTTCACAGCTTCCTAAAGAGAGATCAGTCCACACTGTTCCTTATGTAGGGAAACTGCTTTGTGTCATGTGTCCCTGACATCCTAATCTAAAGGAATGAGTAAAAGCCATCCATTCAATCTTCTGTTAGAAGACACAAAGAAAGTAGTTCAGATGGTACAGTGACCCTGAAGCCAAAATAAATATAAAGAGAAGGCAGGAAAAAATATAAACAGAAGCCACGAAGCAACAGAAGCCATGAGTAGGCAGGTGCCATATCTTAGTGTACAACAGAAGAGCCCTCGGAGAAGTAGAAAGTTCACCTGAGGACCAAGAAGCACAGAGAAACAGGGAAGTCAACAGCAGGAATGGCAGACTACTGGGGTGGCCACTGGGACCCAGACAGGCATGCGTCTTGAACAGAGGCCACTGTGAAGCCTGTTTGCTGGGCTTTCCTGTGCTTCCTCACTTCCTTGTTAATCCTCCCAACAAACCTCCATCACCAGAGGTAAACTGAGTGAGTGTCTGTAACTTGAACAAGCCTAACTTGATACACAGTGTCTAGTCCAACATTCACATTTGTTCTCTTTACTGGCTTCCCACTGCACTATCTACCTATCTCCCTCTCTCTCTCTCTATCTTTTTATATAGCACTTATATTATTCCAGCTTGATATATATATATCAAGCACTGATATTATTTCTGTGACCTTTAAAATAGCAAGATTTTATCAGCACTGAAGGCAGTTTAATTAACATGGAGAGCTTCAGCACCTCAAACCCACTCGTTTTGCCTTCCAATATCTGGGTCCTAGTTATAATCTCTGGGTGGTTAGTTCTGACTCAATAATATTTCCATCATTTCCTAAGGGAATTATGGTGATAAAACATGAGTACACTTAGTGTATTGAGTACACTTAATGTATTAAGTACACTTAGACACACACATACATATATATAGACACACACACATATACACACACACACATACACACACACACACACACACACACACACATAGATTGCAGTGGGAGGCCAGTAAAGAGAACTAATGTGAATGTTGGACTAGACACTGTGTATTATATTAAACTTGTTCAAGTTATATATATAAAGTGCACTTTTATATATATATGATCTCCCAACTCCTTAGCACTACCTACAAAGCCCTCACAATCAAGCCCATGCATGCCCCTTCAAGCTCATCTTGTGCCTGTTACTCCAACATTCTAGGACTATCCAAGCAGTCACAACTATTACATTGACCTTTGCATGCCCAGCAACTAGAACAGTCCTAGTGTTTTGTGTGTGTGTGTGTGTGTGTGAGAATTAGTTCTTTTAAGAAAAGTAGCCATGAAGTACTTGAAATACAGCTAGTCTGAATGGAGATGTGCTGTAAGTATAAAATACACACAGGATATGGAGACCTTAGAACAATAACAAACAAGGAAATATGCCTCAATAATTTTACATTGATGATATGTTGAAATGCTAATACTTTGGATATATTGAGTTGAATAAAATATAGTATGAAAATGTATTTCACACATTTCTTTTAACTTTTCTAAAAATGTGGCTACTAGAAAATTTCAAATTACCCATGTAGCTCCTGTGATCTTTCTGTTAGACAGTGGCTACTTTAGACCTTCCTTTGGTAGCTTGAGCATGCCACGCTCTTTCCTGATTCTCACCTCTGCCTGTTCCTTACCACAACCCTCATTCTGCTTCTTTTCATTTGGAATGGCTGATTCATTCTTGTCTTTTAGCTTAACTGTCACTTCCTTATATAAGGCTTTAAACATGCCATTCATTAAGTATGTCACCCCTACCTCCCCTCCAGTTATTCTCTAACTGAACTTGGTTC